AACTGCTTGAACATGCCTTTCAGGTTGACAAGAATGATGGCAGCTAAAATGGCCTGAAAAAGAAATTGTGATGATATAACATGAGAATTTACAGCGCAGGTCATTCCAGGTTGGTGGATGGCGAGAGAAGAGCCTGCATTTAAACTATAAAATCAATCCTTGAAACGTGAGAGGAAGATATAGATATTTTTATCCAATAGTGCTGAACCCCTTCAAGGTATGTGTGGCAATAGCTCCAATAGTTAAATAATAATGATATTTGCTTCTTTGTGCTATTTTTTGATCTTCCACTTGTGCTGCCGTATATAAAGATGCAAATAGTTAAAAATAATCAAGCCCCTTCGAGCGGAAAGAGAAAACAGCGCAATCCTGTGCACAGTTGCTGAAACCTGTCTCGCTGAATTCCGCCAAAGTTACTCCCAAGGAAGTGTGCTTTGGGTAGCGACCAGAGATAGAAAGTAACAGGAGTTTGAACGTACTTTGGGTAGTTCTCGGAAAAGCTCCCCAATCTTCAAAATGGTTATTAGGATGATAAGACAGGAGACCAACCCTGCTACCTGTAGGAAAGAAAAGACAGATATGTACTGTGTGCAGGGCAAATTGGGGTGGCAGAGAAGAATTGCAAAATCCACACCTTGCTTTTCCTTTTCCTGCTGTGTCTGAGATGATCATGAGATACTACGGACATTTCATGTGTCTTGCTTTCAAAAAACCCTAAACCAACCTTACTTTGCTGGGAATCCTCTAGGTATGTTTGACTACCTGTCCCATTATCCCCAGGAATATGAGCAATGACTATGCTGGCAGCTCTAGTCCAAAACATTTGGCAGGTACTAGTTGGACAAAGCTACTGTAGACTAAATCATTTATCTCCCCTTTGCTCTTGAAGTGAATGGAAATGGGCTTGCATTATACATAATATTTCTGTCCTACATACTGAGAAAATAGTTGAATATTTGAACTACACATTAGACATGAGAGATGACCCACCAATCTGGTGATATAACCCAGATGACATCTGGAGCTCTGCTTAGTGGAACAAAGAGTAGGGCCTCCAAACTAGGAAAGCTTATTTAGGCTTTACCTTATTTTGAAGTAAACAAAGAAACACCAGGAAAAAATATACACCTTTCTAGGACCTACCTGACTGTTTCCTCCTGTGGTCTCTTGCACCAGGGAACGTGACATGGAGCAGCTGATGCTACAGCACTGGAAGAAGCCACCTACAAAGTTACTGAGCCCCAAAGCTAGCAGCTCCTGCAAGAGAAACGAAGCCATCCAATATTATTAGCCTTGATGTGAAAGATACAGAGTAAGTCCAAGAACGGTCAGCGTTCCAGTTATTAAAAGCTATCGTGGCTTCCTGGGTTGAACTTGCATGTTGTGTTTTTGCAGTGACTCAGCAGATTGGTGAGCCCAGGTCAGTCTCAGTTTATTGCCTTATTCCCGAGTGCACAATAATCATAGTGCAGGCCAAAGTGCAAGAAGGCACACAAGTGCCGCTACAGCACATGCAGCAAATCTACAGGATGAAATGCCCCCTTCTAACAGCCTTCTTCCA